TACTGTGATTTGGGATCAGATGTCATCACTTTGTTTGCAGACAACACTGTCTATCAGTTGACTGTCAATACACCGGATCCCATGAATCCTGTCTTCAAATAGAGAAAATCCCAAATAGTGAATGAGTGGTCAAAAGGCGATTACATGAGTGGTCCGATAAATAGTGTATTATATTGCAACAACTTTACTAAAATTGGATTATTTAATGTAATGACTATAAAAATATTAATTACAAATATTATTTATAGAACAATATTGGACAATGGTGGTTTATGTGGGCATATAATAAGTCGATAACTAATACATTTGATTATCGTAACCCAAATCGTAACGAAATGTATGAGTTTTACAAATGGAATATTACAAATAAGTGTGAGGATACTTATTTTAAGTTTGGTGTATTAAATAGTTATGCGTTACAAACAATGGCCGGCTTTTCATTCAATAATTATATTTATTTAAAGATAATTCCGTTTATTGTGTGAATAAAATTACTTTTAAGTTTGACGACAACTGTTTGAATCAATCCATCGCTCAATGGATTGGTTGCGAAGACAACACAATTGATCCGAATACTAACGACAATGAAATTAATAAATACTTAATTATAGCAATTATTGCAGTGATTATAGCATTGATTTCATACAAATTGTGGACAAAATATTCTTCGAGAGACAAAGAATGTGAATGACTCGACAGATCAACGAATCGACGATAAAATTGCCATAAAATACATTAAACACTAATTACTCGAAGACATCGATGTCTTTGTCAACGGTTCATAAGATTAGACGGATTTCAACATTGGATTAAATAATAATTAAAGTGAAATCAATTAAGTATATTATGAATAATAAATCACATTAATGCATATGTTATCAGATTATAATAATCAGTTATAATTAAATTTTGCAAATTTCTAAAGATTGAAAATGTAAAATTTGTTTTTGAAATCAATTAAATAAACAATACATTAATGAATAATTTGCTGTGAATTACAATTATAGTTTTACTTACAGTATATAAAAATATACAGTACATTATGTGTAAATGTGTTGCCATTAAATTAATGTTTGAATCATTGAATTATTGCTAACAAAACAGTAATTTGTTTTTCATTTATTTGGGGTTAAAATATATCGTAAGTCATGCAAAGTAAGGAAAATCTGCAATATCTCTGTTGTTTCCAAACGATTAATGTAAAATATTTTACTTAAATATTGTACAATATTTGTACACAAAATCCAAACACAAATGCATTTCATTTTGCAATTAATTGTGGTTTTAATACAACTATTAATTTTATTAAATGCAAAGGTAAGTGATTTTGTATATTATTTTATTAAAATTTAAAATTACAATAATTATAATTCCCAGAATCCATTGTGTTATCCAAACATTACAATTGATTCGGTATTTAATGACAAATACTGTGATTTGGGATCAGATGTCATCACTTTGTTTGCAGACAACACTGTCTATCAATTGACTGTCAATACAACGGATCCCATAAATCCTGTCTTCAGATACAGGAGAACCCAATTGTTAACCGAGTGGTCAAATGGCACATATATTAGTGATATTATGGGTCCAATCAATATTATGTATTATTGCCATAATTATAAACAAATTGGATTATATAATGTAATGACTATATAAATAATGTTAATATTTATTGACTGCAAATATTATTTACAGGGCAAAATTCAGAAAGGGTGGTTTATATGGGCAGATAGTAAGTTGATATATAGGTCGATTTCTCAATTGCTTCCAGAAACATTTGCGCTATATGGATCCTATCCTTCAAATCAATGCGAAAAATCTATTTATACATCGAATGAACGAATTAATCAATTAATAAATGAAAAAACAATTAGTAAATCGTTACCAAAACCGGTCGGTTTTGCATTCAATAATTATATTTATTTTTTTGCCGCAAATTTTGTCTGTCATGTGAATAAAATTACTCTAGAGTTTGACGACAACTGTTTGAATCAAACCATCGCTCAATGGATTGGTTGCAAAGACATTACAACATTTGATCTAAGAGTAATAATTATAGTGTTTGTGATATTAGCGGCCATTTGTTTGATTATAAGAGTAATGATTATAATTTTAATGTCAAATATGTGTCAAACAGTTCTGCAATTAACCAATACTTCAGACACCGAATCGGTGTATATATCGATGAATGCATTGAACACAATGTCATCCATTTCTTTACCGCCGATGAATGGGAACAGACATACGGTTTCAATACTAAAGAGGGCTTCAATTTAATGTATTTAAAAATTGTTAAAATAACGTCTTTTGAATAAAAAAAACAATAAATAATTTCTCGACATTTGCTTATATATACAAATATTTTACTCATAATATAAATTAAACATTAGGTGTAAATGTTTTGCCATTGAATTAAAGTTAATATTGCTAACAAAACTATAGTCGTATACGTTTTTAATTTCTATGCGACAAAAATATTAAACACGAAAACAGTTTAGGACACGAATAAACAAATTCGTCAGTTATTTATTGTCTCAAAATCGGCAAACAATTGGACACAAAGACATCACAACAATGACTCATACAATACAAACTTGTCATTTACCACAACATTGAAGACCACATTAAATGTAGATATTGTCACCCAAACTGTTCCTTTCAAAGAAAACATTTGAATTTAATTTAATTGTAATATTTTTTCAGAAGATTATTGTCTCAATGTAAAAACATTTTGTATATCATATAACTGAAGAGTTTTTGGAAATATTTATACACAAAAGTTAAACACAAATGCATTTCATTTTACAATTAATTGTGGTTTTAATACAACTATTAAAATTATTGAATGCAAAGGTAAGTGATTTTAAATATCATTTTGGGAGGGGGGCCGAACGATCCTATAAACCACATTATTCATACTGAATTGTGGTTAAAAATCAATGTCTTGTCAAGGAATCAAAAGATTAGACGAATTTTAACATTGGATTAAATTATGATAGNCACATTATTCATACTGAATTGTGGTTAAAAATCAATGTCTTGTCAAGGAATCAAAAGATTAGACGAATTTTAACATTGGATTAAATTATGATAGAAATGAATACAATTAATTTTTTATAAATAATAAGTAACATTAATGCTAAAATTAGTAATAATATAATTGTTCATATAATATCTAGTTTTAATTAAATTTTGCAAATTCCTAAAAATTAGACATGTGTAATTTGTTTTTGAAACCAATTAAATTAGCAATTATTTAATGAATCATATTTGAAACGACTTATAAATGAATATTTTATTCATACATTATGTTAGTATTGCTAACAAAATAATAATTTAATTTGTTTTTCATTTATTTGTGAAAATATTGAAAACAAATATTTCTTAAGACACGAATCACAGAATCAGTCGGTTATTCATTGTCTCAAAATTGAGTAAACATTTGAACACAAATATATCGCAAACAATACTCAGACAATACAAACGTGTCATTTACCAGAAATTGTTTCACTCGAAGACAACATTTGAGATTTATTTAATTTTAATTTAATTTCATAAGATTATTGTCTCAATAATTAAAGACATTTTGTATATTATATAACTGAAGAGTTTTTGAAAATATTTGTACACAAAGGTTAAACACAAATGCATTTCATTTTGCAATTAATTGTGGTTTATATACAATTATTAATTGTATTGAATGCAGTGGTAAGTGATTTTATGAATATTATTTTATTAAAATTTAAAAATGCAATAAATATTTAATCGCAGAATCCATTGTGTGATCCAAACATCACAATTGATTCGGCATTTGTGGACAAATACTCTGATTTGGGATCAGATGTCATCACTTTGTTTGCGGACAACACTGTCTATCAATTGACTGTCAATACAACGGATCCCATAAATCTTGTCTTCACATACAAAAGATCTCAACCATTAAACCAGTGGTCAAACGTGTATAATATTAAGGGCCCAATAAATAACGCGTTTTATAATATGCACGCTTTCAATACAATTGTATTAAGAAATGTAAGTTTTTAAAGTTTTTTCTTTCATTTTTAAATTTTCTTTCACTTTCACCGCTGATGTAAGCCCCCAGAAAATTAAGCTTATACACCCCCGGAGGTATACAACACTGTCTATCAATTGACTGTCAATACAACGGATCCCATAAATCATGTCTTCGTATACAAGAGATCCCAACAATTAAACGAGTGGTCAAAAAGAATTGTCGGTCCCATTAATTCCGTATATTATTGGTCTAACGCTAGTATTATTGTATTGATTAATGTAAGTTTGATGTAAATTAGGAAACATTTCATTACATTTAATATTTTTACAATAATAGAGAGAATTAAATATTGCGTGGGATTTATGGCCGAAAAATAAAACAATTATTCATCAGGGTAAATACAGTGATTTATCATTTTACATTAATTATATAGTGATAGACAAGTTGGTTACCCTACCATTTGAATGGACACAATACTTATTATATAAAAATCAATACAATTATTTAATCACACGTTATCCCAATTACTGGCAACTAATTGGGAGTAACCCTTAAGTGCCCAAAACAAATTATGAGGAGGGTTTAATTTTCAAGGATAAAACTTTCATTACAATTTAACTCGAATATAACAAACATCAAAATGATGATTTTATATTCAATAAGATTATAAAAAACTATATTACCAAAAATCCCAAAACATAATTCACACATATATCGTATACAAAAAAGGGTGCAGGTAACTTAGTAATTTAATGTTGAACGCGGACGGCTAGTAACATTAAAATGATATTTATTCAAATTTTAATGGTTATATTTTTTATTTTATTATTATAAAGACTTAATATTACTCCAGTTAACTAAAACTACCAATATTATTACTTTAATTCCATGTTAAAGTATAGCCATAGACTTAAGCTGGGATTCCATGTGCACTGCACATTATGCAACTTTTTAACAGTACAGAGGGAGGGTTAATTTGAATAAATAGATGTAGACGGTTTAAATTCACTGAATTCAAATATAATTAAATATTGAAGCAAACCTGATATATTGAAGATTAATGTCAGTTAAAACAATATAACAAATTATAAAATATTATAATAACAAAACATGCAAATGTCCACAAACACCAAAGATATGGCCATAGTTCTAACCATTTACATACGCCTTATAATACTATAATTTTACTGAATGACATTACTCATTTAAAAATACCATTTTCAATGCATTAAGCCATATGCAACTGGCTATTAATATGACCATAATACGGCATTTGTGACAATTCGCATGTTTATGAATCTCCATACAATACTAGATATAATAATATCAACCACGACTGGATCAGCTAGGTGATATTCGCACGCTTTCCTACTGATCAATAATTTGATATCATTTTGTCTATCGATGGTTAATATTGAATGATATGATAAACAAAATACTGATTATACAATCAGTATAACTGGTGTGTCCAACGGATGCCATCAAATCACAAATTCAAACCGTTAATAATCAATATTTTTTGAGTTGTTAAATTACGTTAATAATTCTGTTACGGCAATATATGTCCTTTTGTCAGTCAAAACAGTTAATGTTCCAATTGTTTACTCGACCCAACTTAAAAGTTTATACGGTTAGTATAAACTTAGTATGCAGATCTGAATCTCTATTTGTTTGTGCCATTTTGTGCCATTGGCACAAAAAAATTATTTAAGAGATACGTCTAAAATAATATTTTTGCGAAGGAATGTTATTAATTATTCTGTAGTAAATATACTTTCTTTAAATTAATAATAAAGATATAAATGATACCATTTAAATATAGTTCAAACACTAAATTTTATATTTTAATATAATATTATTTTAAAATAATGTTCACTTTAAAAAATGCAATACATGTATAATAAACTTATTTAATTTGAATTTAAAAATATTTTGAATTTTCAGTTTAAAGAAATTTATCAAATAGTTTTTAATTAACAAAGAGTAATAAGAAAAAGTATATTCTAATAGTATGTTATTTTTACATAAATTCATTTAATAAATTGCTTGAATAATAAACATTTAGACATTGATTATTATTTTAATGTAAGTATATTATGAAAACTAGACTATATTTATTGAGATTCAATGCAAATTTTATCGCACAAAAGATTGTTTTCAGATCATAAACATCTATGTTATAGAGTTGTTAAAGAATGTTATTTAAAAATTATAGTATATTCTTCATCTCATAATTAAATTAATATATTGTATTATACAGTAGTTTAGTAACAAGTATTAAATGAATGAAATATTTATTCTGTTTGCTAAATGACTGGAAAACCTACGATATTCTGTGTTTATATAATACTAATCGTAATGACATTAAAGGATAAAAATGTTGAACCGGTCGATAGGCGTTG